AGTCTTGGCACTTGGAAATAACCTTCTTTCTGGTTCTTTATCTGCAACACTTTTTACAAAGCTTCAATCTTTAACTTCTTTTGATGTTTCTAATAACACCCTTTCTGGTATTATTCCACCTGAAATTGGGGAGTTGAGAAGCCTTACTGATCTTTACATTGGGGAAAACAGATTCTCTGGCCATTTGCCAGCAGAAATTGGTGAACTTTCAAGACTCCAGATTTTCTTGGCTCCTTCATGTTTACTTGAAGGTCCATTGCCTGAATCCATCTCAAAGTTGAAATCTTTGAAAAGATTTGACCTTTCTTATAACCCATTGAAGTGTTCAATCCCAAAAGCTATAGGTAGTCTTGAGAATTTGACTATACTGAACCTTGCTTACTCTGAGATCAATGGTTCAATACCTTCTGAGCTTGGGAAGTGTAGAAACTTGATGTCTGTAATGCTTTCTTTTAACTCACTATCTGGGTCTTTGCCTGAAGAACTCGCAGAGTTGCCTGTTCTATCTTTTTCTGCAGAAAATAATCAGCTTTCTGGTGCATTGCCTTCTTGGCTTGGAAGATGGACTCAGATGGATTCATTGTTGCTTTCGAGTAACCGGTTTTCTGGGAAAATTCCAGCTGAGATTGGGAACTGTTCTATGTTGAGTCATATTAGTTTGAGCAATAACTTACTGACTGGTCCAATACCTAAGGAGCTTTGCAATGCTGTGGCACTCGCGGATATTGAGCTTGGCAATAACTTTCTCACAGGCAGCATTGATGACACATTTGTCAAGTGTGGCAATCTGAGTCAGTTGGGATTAATGGATAATAGTATTGCTGGGGTGATCCCGGAGTATCTATCACAGCTTCCTTTGGTGGTTCTTGATTTGGATTCCAACAATTTGACTGGTCCAATTCCGGTTAGTCTCTGGAATTCGATTTATATGTTGGCGTTTTCTGCTGCGAATAACTGGTTATGGGGTACTCTACCGGTGGAGATTGGCAATTCTGTGTCATTGCAGAGTCTTGTTCTTAGTAACAATCAGATAACTGGTGTCATTCCTAAGGAGATTGGTAATTTAACCTCTCTTTCAGTGTTGAACTTGAATTCCAATCTTCTTGAAGGGTACATTCCTGATGAGTTGGGTAATTGTGTCTCTCTTACAACATTGGATCTTGGGAATAACAGGCTGCGTGGGTCAATACCGGATACACTGGTGCATCTGCCTCAGTTACAGTGTTTAGTCCTTTCACACAATGATCTTAGTGGTGGTATTCCTTCAAAGATTTCAAAGTATTACCAGCAAGTTAGTATCCCTGATTCGAGTTATGTGCAGCATCATGGAGTTTATGATCTGTCTCACAACAAGCTGTCTGGCTCAATTCCTGAAGAGCTAGGGAGTTGTGTTGTTATAGTGGATCTTTTGCTCAGCAATAACATGCTATCTGGGGAGATACCACGATCACTCGCTCGCTTGGTGAACCTCACTACGTTAGACTTAACGGGGAATTCGTTGACAGGCACCATTCCAACGGAGTTTGGCAACTCACATAAGCTGCAAGGATTTTATCTGGGGAATAACCAGCTTACAGGATCAATCCCTGAAAGTATTGGCCAAGTAAATAGTTTGGTGAAGCTGAATTTGACAGGCAACATGCTTTCAGGTCCAATACCCTCAAGTTTTGGGAAGTTAAATGGGCTGACTCACTTAGATTTGAGCTCAAATATACTTGACGGTGAACTTCCTCAGTCGCTTTCCAGGATGGTGAACCTTGTTGGCCTTTATGTTCAGCAGAACAGGCTTTCGGGCGGTCTTGATAAGCTATTCTCAAACTCTGCAGCATGGAGACTTGAGATTATTGATTTGGGTACTAACTCCTTCACTGGAGCCTTGCCACCATCATTAGGCAACTTGTCGTATTTGACGATTCTTGATCTCCATGCAAACAGTTTAACCGGTGAAATTCCAGTTGAGCTAGGAAATCTTGTGCAACTTGAGTATTTGGATGTCTCAGGCAACAGTCTCATGGGCCAAATTCCCGAGACATTATGTGCCCTTCCCAATTTAGATATACTAAATTTTACTGATAACAAACTCAAAGGAACTATACCGAGGATTGGAATTTGCCAGAATCTTTCAGAAATTTCGGTGGCTGGGAACAAGGATCTCTGCGGGGGAATCGTGGCTCTAAAATGCCCTGCCAATAGTTTTGTTAAAAGATCATTGTTGCTTAATGTCTGGGGAATCTTATCAGTGGTGGCTGGGACTTTATTGATCACTCTTACTATAGTCATTTTGATAAGGATATGGGTTAATAGAAGCAGCAGAAAGAGTGATCCTGAGGGGGCCGTGGATAGCAAACTGGACAGTGATGATCAGCACCTTTATTTCTTAGGCAGCAGCAAGTCGAAAGAACCTCTTAGCATCAATGTGGCAATGTTCGAGCAGCCTCTTCTCAAGCTGACCTTGGTTGATCTTCTTGAAGCCACCAACAACTTTTGCAAGACTAAAATTGTTGGTGATGGAGGGTTTGGAACCGTCTATAAGGCTACTTTACCTAATGCTAAGACAGTTGCTGTTAAGAAGCTAAACCAAGCAAAAACTCAGGGCCACCGTGAATTTTTAGCTGAAATGGAAACTCTAGGCAAAGTGAAACATCGAAATCTTGTTCCTTTGCTTGGGTACTGTTCTTATGGTGAGGACAAAGTGCTCGTTTATGAGTACATGGTTAACGGTAGCTTGGACCACTGGTTGAGAAACCGTACTGGAACACTTGATGTGCTGGATTGGAGCAAACGACTTAAGATTGCAGTAGGTGCTGCTCGTGGTTTGGCGTTTCTTCATCATGGATTCACACCACACATTATTCACAGGGACATCAAGCCAAGTAATATCTTGCTCAACGAAGACTTTGAGGCCAAAGTTGCAGATTTTGGGTTAGCAAGGTTGATCAGCGCCTGTGAGACGCATGTAAGCACTGATATTGCTGGTACATTCGGTTACATTCCTCCCGAGTATGGCCAGACATGGCAGTCTACAACAAAAGGGGATGTTTATTCTTTCGGTGTGATCCTTCTTGAATTGCTGACAGGGAAAGAGCCAACAGGACCGGATTTCAAAGATGTCGAAGGTGGAAACTTGGTTGGTTGGGTACTCCAGAAGATGAAGAAAGGTCATTCAGCTGATGTTCTTGATCCAACAATACTTGATGCAGATTCAAAGCAGATGATGCTTCAGACATTACAGATTGCTGCAATATGTCTCTCTGATAATCCAGCTAATCGCCCGTCTATGCTTCATGTCTTCAAGTTCTTGAAAGGAATCAATGGGGAATAAATCATCACTTTGTTATTTCACATGTCTAGTTTTATATTTTTAATCCTGTTATTGTTATTAAGCATATGTTAATAAATCATTAGTAATTATGTAACAAAATAGTCTTTAATCATATGGAATGAAATCACTGCATTTAGCCTCTAATCAAATATCAATGATTCTCATGAATGTATCAAAATCACAATCTATGATACTCGTTGTTTGAACCGAGGGTCTTTTGAAAACAATAACTTTACTTCCGTTACATAGGTAAAAAGTGGTATTTGACCTATTCATAGTCCATATAGTTATAGGGGGATTATGATTGTTTATTACTTGTGACAAAAAGTCGAAAACATTAAAAAGAAACGGCGATTATTTAATACTATGTATCATAGAGGTGAGTTTAGAGTGTCATGTGTACTGTTCTCTAGTCAACAAAACATAATTGGGGTAGTTGAAGTAAACATTAGATGAAGAGGCATTTAAGAATATAAACAAAATGATCAAACAAATCAACAACATTGGAGTAAGGTCATACATCACTATTTTTCAACTAAAAATTGTTTGATGACTATTTCATCGTTTTTTCGATTGAATCGACATTTTATTTAAATGGGAATCTGTTTTTCCAGTGAACTGATTCAGTTGAAAATGAGTGAAAAGGCCATGATTATTTTGGTCTATGTATGTTTTAGAGTAAGGTGGTTGTGTATATTACTAAGTTAAAGATGTATATTAGTAAAGGAAAAGTTATAGAGAAGAGGTATTACTAATATTATTGATCATTCTATACACAAGTTGTTCCCTATTTATAGCTTTTGGCTCATTATCTCAAACTATCTGTGGCGATTTTAAAAAATACTTATTATATCAAATTTGTTTATTAATTTTAGAAAATAAACATAGAATTAATTGTTATTTTTTCGTTTTATTCTTGATAAAAATGGTTCTTGAGCACTATAAACACCTAAAAAAAAGAGCAAATATTTAATTAATAGACAAGTGAATTGTTGAGATTTTCCATTGTTCAAAATAAGCGGACTATTCAAAGTTATTTGAGACTTTTATATGTTTATCTTTCATTTAATGAGATTCTTAACTATTTTACAATTTTTAATCTAATATATATTTGAGGATAATCATAATAGTAGAAACTAACATTTTATTTAGGTCTTTAAATATTTTTTTAAGGAATATCTCATAGCCAAATAATTCACTTAATATTTACTAGATAGAGTATATCAAAAGACATAAATGAGAGAAAAACAATCAAATTTAAATTACAGAAAAATTATGCAGCTAAGTAAATTTATACTACTTAATTAGTTATTATAACTACAATTTGTTATAATTATCACTCCCAATTAACATTAACCATTAATTATATTCTGACTTCAAGTTTGTATAATTAGTCACGTTTGTATAATTCGTCATATTTGTATGATTCGCAACTAATAATTTTTCGTTTGATTTGTATTTCTATATGATGGTTTGTATTTGTATAAACAATGATTTCTTTTGGTTTTTCAGTTTTATTATCATATACATGAAATTTTTTTATTTATAACTTTTTAAAGTTTGTATAAACATATAGTTTTCTGATTTTGTATAACATAATTTATATAATGTAATTTGTATGATATAATTTGTATAGCTATTTAAAGTTCACAATTTTATGTTTGTATCAATTTGTTATTTCGATTTTTATCATATTTGTATAAATTTCAGACTTTATATTACTCAATCATGCAAAAACACGTGAATTATATAAACATACCCGCGAATTATAAAAAGACATGCGAAATATACAAATTATTGTCCTCTCTCACTCGCCTCTCTCCTCCCTCTCTCCATCTCGCTTGCCTCTCTTTATCTCACTCACAAATACATAAGTATACCAGTTACATATATACAATCATCTAACCGATATATACATATACAATTTACCTCTCTCACTCTCTCGCTCGCCACTCTCCTCCCTTTTACATGTAGCTACAAATCATAATTAACAAACTATAATTATGGAGCATAATTAAGTTATTTTTGAGTCGCTATATTCAAAAATTCCCTGTCCTTCAATTTAATTTGTAATCATGGGTTGAACTAATGAGTCATATACAAGCCCGTATGCTATGCTAATTCTTGGGCTTAGAAAGTTCTCCACGAAGGATAAAGTCCATCTTATAAGCTTAAAACTCTACTATAGCTGCCAGTAGTAACCAACTTAAAAGGATAATGCACAATTACCTCTCAACCTATGCTTGAAATTTTAGAGATACACTTATACTGTATTAAGGTTCTATTACCCTCCTGAACTTATTTTATTAATAATTTTTTACTCCTTTTCAGCCTACGTGGCACTATCTTGTGGGCCCAATATTGTTTGATTTTTTTTTTTCAAGTTAGTGTCATGTAGGCCGAAAAGGGTTAGAAAATTCCTTATAAAATAAATTCAGGTCTGAAATTTCGAGCATAAATTGAGGAGATAATTGTGCATTTTCCCCCAAAATTATTGGTCCTTTGACATATGACAGTATTATGGAATAGTTATTAACGAATCAACAAAAAATAAATTGTGTCAATTTTTCTAAATAAGAATATTTCAGTATAGCAAGCAAATCAAAATTCATATCTACTGAAGCACTAGTTTAGGGAAGCAAATGAAGTTGTCAACAAGTTAGCTTCCTTAAGACACTCTTTAATTATGTACACCTTTGAGCCATCTTCAAGAATCAATTCTTGGAATTCGTACCGGAAAGTCAAAAGTGCTCTCTAACAAAAATAACTTCATATTCAGAGAAATTTAAATTTGAGGGCTCTGCTTAAAAATAAAGTACTTATAAATTCTGTTCGTACAGTATTTATAGTTTTTTTGTTTTTGGGAGATATTCCACCTCTATTAGTACAAGATGGACCTTGTATAATGTTTTGTATATGCCAAGACACGTGTGATTATCACTCTTTATCTTTTTTTTTAATTGTATTTAGATCGAATTAATGATAACTTCTTCATAAATAATTTATTTAGACATTTTAATCGAACATCAACCTTTAGGAACCTTTACAACCCCTTAATCATTACATTAAACCTTCCACTTATTTCTAGAGATGTCAATACTTATATATACATATTTATTTTAATTTTTTTTCTTTTTAAATGAACTGATCAACTTATTCATATAATTAGGTCAACTTATTCAATGCTTCCAGTTCACGATTTTCCAGCTCTTACTTAAACTTCATTTTAACGGATTAATCCAAAAAATTGAACTTTTTATGTTCTGTCACACCTATATATTTTCATGATCGCCAAAAAAATTGAACAATTGACAACAAAGTTCATAAGTAATTTCAATTTTATTTTTTTTGTTGCGAAATGTTGTATTTGAGTAATCATTTTGATTTTCTTGTATGGATGCTATTCTCTATAGCAATATATACCACCACATAATTTTGAATTGTTTTTTATGGTACATTGTTCTGTTTTTTTTTGTTTAAATTTTTAGTCATTGAGGATGGGTAATAATTTGAATTTTCGAAAATGTCGATTCGTAAAGATTATGAGTTCATTTCAACTTGTGCTAGGAGGGCTTGTTATCTTTGTAAGTCTTTCGACTTTATTTAGCTTCTATTCTGTTGGATTTTTCATGCATGATGAAGATATATGTCGCCATTTCTATGGCGCGTATAATGGTTTTGACATTAGATCACTATCTGCTCGTGTTGATGAAGTTCTTGATAAGATGGAAACTCTACAAGACAAGCTAGAATTGATGGTAAAGCATATGGACAAAGGTAAAGTTGACGAGTTGTCTAGTAGCTACATTTCGAGATTTGAGTACAAGAGATTGTTGGAAGAAGATGTGATTAAGCCTCTGTCATCCGCGCAAAGTTCCCTTAGGCAAATTAGGTTGCCAAGAGTTGAAACAAGTGGAAGTGTTCGCGAAGATCCTTTGATTAATACGTTTGTGATGGAGGAGATGAGGAAGTATATTACGCCTAAGGTGAATAGAAATGGAGATGTTAATGTCTATGGTACATTGATGATTTATAACACGATAGGTCACGCGTGTGTTTTGATGAAGAAAGAGTTGGAAGAGTATATGGATTACGAAATTGGATCCTATTGTAAAGATGATTGGAATTTGGCTCAAAAGCTAATGTTGAATGGTTGTGATCCTTTGCCTAGGAGGAGATGTTTGGCGAGGGCGTCTAAGCTTTATCTCAAGCCTTACCCCATTGACAAGTCCCTTTGGACAATCCCAGATGGTAGAAATATTCGTTGGAGCAATTACAAGTGCAGGAACTTCGAGTGTTTATTGAGAAAGAACACGAAAAAGGGGTTTGAAATGGAGAAGGAAAAGGTAAAATGGGTAACAAACTCCTCTGTTCCTGTGGATTTTTTGATCAAAGATGTGTTGGGGATTAAGGCTGGGGAGATCAGAATTGGGCTTGATTGTGGCGTTGGGACGGGGAGTTTTGCTGCAAGAATGAGAGAACATAATGTGACAATCATCTCAACTGCAATGAATCTCGAGGCTCCATTCAGCGAGACAATAGCACTTAGGGGTCTAGTGCCATTATACGCGACATTGAACCAACGTCTACCTTTGTTTGACAACACGATGGATTTGATTCATACGATAGGACTAATCGATGGATGGATTGATCTTCAGCTATTGGATTTCATCCTTTTTGATTGGGATCGCGTTTTAAGACCAGGTGGATTGTTATGGATAGATCGATTCTTCTGTAATAGGAGGGATATCGATGACTTCATGTACATGTTCTTGCAATTCAGATACAAAAAACATAAGTGGGCTATTTCTCCAAAGTCTAAGGATGAGGTTTATCTTTCTGCATTGTTGGAGAAACCTAAAAGATCTTGATGATTATAGTAAGTAAATTGCAGTGGCGGACGCAGGATTCTCATCAACGAGTGTTTGATTAGTAAATTACTATCTTTTAATGTGTAAAGGTTCTTTTATGTTAGAATTAAATACTTTGGTCTCCATGCTGGGAAAATGTATAATTCACATAGGTTCAATTCTGAAGTCTAGTATAAAAACTGTTTTAAGACTTATGAGCTTTGATCCTCTATTGTGAATTGTGATGGTGTTTGATTAATAAAGGGCTAAATTATGAATTATTTTAGTAGAAACTTGGAGTTATGCACAATTGCTATTCTTTAGATACACATTGAATAATTTTGCTCTTGTTTAATAGTTTGTAAATCACGTCAGCTAAATATGAGAGTTCAATTAATCATAAATACACTAACTCAACCATCCTTATTGGGTAGCATTGTATCAATGGATAATAGAAAATATACTGAAGAAGTAATTGGAATTTTTTTTATATAAAAACCACTCTTATCTATCTAAATATGCTATTAATTTTCTCCCTACTTTACTTGTGAAATTATTATAGATATATCGTTATATTTGTTGGAAAGTCACATCAAAGTTTGCTACTTTGATGTGATCACTCTGCCCCGTCTATGGTTGTTCATCCTATGCAGTAACAAAGTAAGGAATTTCAAAAAGGAAAACAAAAAAAATTATTGCTAGTGAGATTCAAACACACGAGCATCACCTCATTGCAAGAATATGAAACCGCTATAGGTTATAGCAAATTGTTGTGTTAAGGATATTCAAAATATGTTATTTAATCTTTTGTTGATCATTTTATGGTATTTTTTTGGGACAAAGATGACTATGTAGCAACGCCACTGATCCCACGTGAGACGTCGTGCATACATAATCTCTTTATGCCGTATAATTTTGAGCCAAATTCAATAAGGACAATACTCTATTCAATAATAGTTATCCATTATTGACTTGACATAGGATTAAGAAGCAGTAAATGATACTGATAATTTTGCCAAAACACTTTCATTAAATATAAGTCATTTAGGCATTGAAAAATCAATAGTATTTAATAGCAAGGTAAATTAGACATCAAATAATAAATTATTCATCGATTTTATGAATTGGCCAAATTTTAATAAATATTCCAAAATAGTATAGAAGTTAAAATAAGATGAACAAGAGTGTATAAAAGAACTCATATATCCCAATATCTATCTATTTTTAGTCCCAGAGGTTTTAAAATTTAAATCAATGTATTTAGTCGGATTTTTAGCAAGTTGAATAAAAAATGTATTGCCTTGAATTAGCTCATATTAGTATGAATAAAAACAACTTTGGTAAAATACAACTACGACTTATTTGTAACTATATATATATATAACGTATATGTCCTCATATACTTACAAATAGGTTATATTTGTAAGTATATGAGGACATATATTTTATCAACAAATTTATCATTTTTATTTATTTTTAAAATCATATTTATCTCTGTATTCTAAAAAAAGTCATACTTATCATTTATAAGACGTCAACACTAATTTAATTAATGTACGATTAATTAATCAATCATTTTTAATTAATTCAGAGTTACCATGTATCATATGCAAAACAAAATAAATAAATGGGTTCACCCTAAATTATTAACTAACTTATAGTCTTTCAATTAATTATGTATTTAACTATATTATAATAAATAATCGTAGCAAATAAACTTTAATATTAAATGGCTAAATAACACAATAACAGCGCGCTAGCGCGAAAACCGTGGCGCCTTAGCGCATCTCCTTTCTTGCTAAGGCAAGCACGAGATCTGGTTCAAGGCAAGATATAGCTTAACCGAATGAAAGAAAATTAGTGTATGAAGCAAGTACGAAAAAACGAAAAAAGGGAATTCAGGCGCTGTTCTCAAGTCTAGTTAACGAAGTCGAGAGGGAAAGCTTACTTGAGAAGATATACCTGACTGAAAGCTACAGACCCACATACTTTGAAAATAATAATTAAAAAGAATCAACAATTAAACAAACAAAGAATAAATAACAAAGAGTAAATTAAGCCCCATTTATCGTAACAATTGTTAAGCCTCATTCGTTGTGGAAACTTATAACACACAAAATAAGTAGTGCATAGGTTACAAAAAGTCCTCTTTAAGTTACATGACAAACTTGAATTCCATTCATTTAATACACAAATTACCCAAAAAGTCACATTCTCATCCGAATTTATAACATTTTTCTTTCTTCTATAATAGGCATTTGGATATGAATTCTAAGTTTTAACAACTTACACATTTTTCCTTTCTTTGAAATAGGCATTTGTTGATATGAAATAAATGATATTGGATATATTATGTATTCTCTATGTTCCTCAATAGTAGTTGTTCAATTCAAAAATCAAAACATAATTTACTATTTTACCCTTCAATTTCAAGTCTTAAATAAATTTCCTTCTCGTTGAATTTCATAAACAGATTCCTAAACTTATTAGGTTTAAAAGAAACAAATTATGAATAATTCAATAGAAAAATGACATAGTTGAATTACCCGAAAGAAAAAAAATCAACAATTTTTCTTTGGGCTGGCAAAATTACAAAAGGATCAAGGATATAAACGTACTTTCCTTTGCACATTTTTCTCAAACAGTTCTCCGCCGTCAGCTCTTTCAAAAAAGATCTATTTTTTACTGCTACAAAAGAAAATACTTTGTAACAATAAGGACATAATTATAAATTAAAAAGGGGCCGAAGAAGCTTCTTCAAGATTTAGTCCGTCACGTAATTATCACCTCTTTCGATTTTGATCAGCTAATCTCTAATATAATCTCGATTATCATCACAGCTAATCTCTAATCTAAATCTAATTAAGGTTCATCACACCAACAAACTATCAATTACAAGTCCTTTGATTTCTTCCACCGCAATGTAGCAGCCACGATCTCTCTTCACTTTCACCGTTACTTTCCTGATCAGACGGTTCTACTTTAACATCCGTTGTTCCAGGTTGCCGCAGCCGTAAATCATGACAATGCTCCATCATTGCTTGTTCCCCTTCCCTAACACGCTTCATGCCTATCGAGAAACCGAATAATCTCGCCTGCGCTTCCTCCGGTACCTCATGGCTCTCCCGGTCCTCTACCGCCTTCACCTGAGATTCACCTACGGACCGTTCCGTCCCTAACAGATCCAGTGGCTTCAACGAAGGCGAACTACTCTCCGCCGATTGATTACCGCTGCTCGAAGGATGTGCGTAAGTCGACATCATACCATATATATTGCCGCAGAGCTTCTTCATTTGGTTCAACTCTTTGCTGAGCTGTAAATTCTCCAATCTTAACCGTTCGTTTTCTCCTAAAAGCTCCGCTGTGCTACCTGCAGATGAGTTCGACGATAGAACTTGCTCTTCACAGGAATCAGAGGTAGATACAGCCACCGGTGGTTGAGCAGGCGGAGGCGGAGGCGGAGACGGAGACGGAGGTGGAGGTGGAGGCTGAGGCGGAGAAGCCACAATCGCCACCGCTGTTGCAGCTGCGGAAGGAGTAGCAATCGGCGTGGCAACCTTTCGACGCTGGATATCAACTAACTGACTTCTCTCACCTCTCCGGAAGCTGTCGTTTGCGAATTCCCATCGATCAGGTACTACTTTCCGAAATCCCTGCATAACCAAAGAAAAGCTAAACTTAACCATCGACTACAAACAATGATTTTCTATCACTCTCAGGTCAAATCAAATGATTTCAGATAAGAAGAAACTTACATAGGTGTTGAGCTGCCTAACGAAGCTAGAAAAATTATTATGTTTAAAATATTTAGGAAGCAAATCCCTAGCGAACTCCGTTGGATTCCACACTATAAAAGTAGATCCGTCTTCATTCCAAGAGATCACATCGTCAATAGATTGATCCTCGATGAGCTGGTAGGTCTTTGTTAAAAACGGTGTCGGCACAGACCTCGGCGTTTCACCGGCTGTCGTCTCTCCTTTGTTCCGGTCTATTGGCTGTGGAGTCATCTCTTCTTATTACCTGACGAACTAATTAAGTTCGTATTGAATCAACTCATCAAAAAACCATTTTCTAGCTAATATAATACATACAGCAAAAATAATAGTAACACCAAAACTACGTACTTGAGTGAAGATCGATGAAGCTATTCTCACAGATCTGGAGCCAAAACTACAGAGAGGACGACCGTCGGAATTTTCGGTGATTCTGGAAGTTTCCGGCGCCACATAGAGGTGAGTGGGTGTGGGGTGGGTAGGAACAAAGAGAGATGGGAAGATAATTGGAAAATTCGAAAAAGAAGGAATAAAGATAAGGAGAAAATATTAATAAAAGAAAAAAGCGAGAGTACAAAGAAACAAGCAAAAAGCTACGTTAAGCACAGCTTCCCAAAGTAGAATTAAATTAAAAATAGAACTAAAGTCGTAGAGATACTTATTGCCTTTCGGGAAACTTCTTTTACGTGTTACCTTATGAGAGGCTTTACGCACCCACAGATGAATAGGCGATGTATTTGCGCTACTCAAAATTTATTTAAACAAATAAATAAGATGTTTTTTTAACAATTTGGTCTCATAGGAATTGGTTTGGACATGGAACTACTCGCACCGTTTGTTTCATTTTACATGATCCTATATTAAAATTATTATAGTAAAATATAGATGTTATTTTTCTTTTTGCTTTCATATTATCTTACTATTAAATAATTATTTTGTTTAATTTTTTGAGATGACTGAGTGATTTGAGCTTGAGACTTTCGTTTTAGAGGTCTCAAGTTTAAAATTTTTCTTCCTAACGAAAGCAGAAAATTCATTTTTTGGGTCAAATTCGTCGTATCGGACTTACTAGTGCATGTTACCTTTCTTATATAATTTGCGAGTTATATTACATAGGAGTGGGAGGTTTTATCTAGTGGCGGTTGTGGATTTACCTTTTCATCTTAAAAAAATAACTACTCTATTTGTCTCTATTTATGTGACATTTTTTTGTTTCGAGATTCTTCATATTTCTTTTAAATATTTTGAATTATTAATTATTGTGACTTATAGTACTTTTTATGTAGTTTGCTGATATATAAATTTAATTTTATAAAATTTAAAAATTCTATGAGCAAAGTTTTGATCAAAGTTAAAGTGTTTGACTCTCGAGAAAGGGAATATGTTACATAAATTGAGATAGGGAGTATATAAATAGTCAAATTTAGAGTTTTAAGATATTATTAATATATTGATTGGATAAAAAAATTATAAAATTGAAATTTTATTAATATAATAATGACTAATAAGCAATTTATATACACATAATCGAAGATTTGAGTGGGCCTTGTACTCTTTAGAGACCAAGGTCACTTTATGTATAAAGCATTTAAGTCAAATCTTATAGTAAAAGATGATGTGCAAAATATAGAAGGATAAGACTAATTTGAGGTGAGAAAATATTTTATATGATTAGAAAAATCATACTGTCATACAATGAATAATATCACATAACTGAAATCTTAATGGATTAAGTCAAACATCATGTAATGATTCATCGATGTATTCATCATCAACCTGTTCATCTGAAAAAACAAGAGTAAATTGGTCACTCAATATTATTATTGTTTCTTGATAAGAGCGATCTTTTGGATACATTAGCTTATTATCAGTTGAATTAAAAATGATTGATATCGATTAATTGACAGATCTATTAACATAAGTAGTTAAAACAAAAATACATTTGCTCGAAAAGATTGAATTCTTTTTACGGAACAAAGACACCTTTTAGTCCCAAACTATTTTAGAGTTCTCGCATCGAACTTTTCAATGGCAATAGACGTCACTATGTTTAGTTATTTAACTTACACAAATTAATTTGTGCTTACCCAATATTAAAAGATGTAATTATCGTGTTTATATATTACGCCGATAGAACAGGTTTGGTGGTTTGACACGATCCATATAAAAAAAGGGAGGGGATATTATCTTTGCCATGAAGTAACAGTAAATATTTCAAAAGGTTCAAGTATGAGAAATTATTTGAAAAAATCATTTAACTTTGTTTTATATCAATAAAGTCACTCAATTTATAAAATTTTTTTCATAAAATCACTCAACTTAAACTATTTTTCTAGGAAATCACTATAATCAAAAAAATAAATATAAAATTGCATAAACCACCCTCCGAGTTTAGTTTTTGTACTACTTCTTTCCAATGTAGTATATAAT